CTTCCCAGGCCTTCCCCGCACTGCACTATCATTTATCCATGGGCTATGCAAATCTCTTCTATCATGCCCTCCTCTCCACTCTCACTGTCTCCACTCCAGTTCAGGCTTACCTTACCTTTGGCCCTCATTGCTGTTCCACTTGCCTCTACTCTCTGTCCTCTTAAATTCCCCTTACATCAGGTATCAAATTATTAATCTGGGAGTTTAGTTCTGAACATTTCCCTTCTTGGCTCAAAAGTCTTTCATATCTCCCTAGCTCCTAAATTTAAACCCCTTGATGGAGGCCCTACATTATCTGGCTCCCAAGCACTTCCTATTTTATTTTTCACTGTGGCCCTTCCCACTGTATCCAAATCATACTAGCCTATTAATTTGAGAAAAAGCTTGAACCAGAAATAGAAGGGAGCCTAGAAAACACTCTTGATAGGTTTCTCTGCTGTCTCAGTATAGAGACAGTGGCAGGCTGATAATCACCTAGGACGTTCTTTTGTTGGATAATATGAAAAAGCCAATTCAGCAATAGACACCACACTCTAGGACATTAATATTCCTGTCTCTCAATGTTGTAGAAGCTTGAGACAGACAGGGATTGGCAGTAACTCACCAAGAAAATGAACTCGCAAACTCTATTTAATAAATACCTTTCTATCTATACTATAAATGAAAGAATTTCAACATACCTTTTTCATAGTCAAACAACAGGTGAGGTCATGATACACCACAGGCACAAAATCTTTTGAAAGGTGTACATCAAATTCTACAAAGGCTGCACCCTGACAGAAATAAAGGAAACAAGTATTTGAAAAATATCTGGCTCACAATACATATAAAACTACACGGACATAAACTTATTGTTCACTATAAAATCAGCCCTGTTCACAAAAAAAACCTTTCTCATGAATTATTTAATGCTATACTTCAAGCTTTATCCTAATTTCTTCTCTTAAAACCATTATAAGTATTTTCCTTTTTCAATAGCACAGTAATTTTTTCCTGGCAAAAGATGGGCACTGATCTACTTGAAAATGCCCTGGGGCCCCTCTGTGGCAAGGGACAGCCTTCACAGGTGTGTCACCTCTGCTACTATAATTAGCAGAAATGGAGCATAACAGGGGCCTGGGGCACAGGGCTCCCTCACACCTTGCTGCCCCTGCAGACATTAGCTGGACAGCTATATCTTAAAGGTGAGGTGGAGAAAAGACGAAGCTGCAGTCTCTCAGCTCTGCTCCTTGGTACCATTGAGCAGAACACTACAGCCATTCTTAGCAAAACCTCTGTCACCAGATTAAAGAGGAAACTGCAACTGCTGCTGAAAAGACAGGAAGCAGAAATGGGAACCAAGAAGGATGCACAGGCAAATTTCCTGAGAGAAGCCTAAATGGAAGAAGGGAGGGCAAAAATGAGTTAAGGACATATTTTTTTAAAGTCAGATCCATTCTGACATGTGAATTAATCCATATAAAGGCTGAGAACATAACTTGACATACAAATCTGTACGTTCACTGCAAGAAAGCCAGCTGGGACGGAAGGAAACAAGGTCTGAGGATCCTCTAACGTTGCTACGACCCAGAGAAGTACTGAATGAGAACGGGGGGGACACATTTCCACCCCTTGCTCAGCTGTGCGTAAACATGCCTAACAGGCTTGAGTTGAAGGAGCCGAGTTCCTGGATGACTTTGAAGCAGGAAATAAGCTTAGCTCCTTCTATTCCTACAAACAAGACAATGACACAAACCATTCCTACTGAAGAAAACCGTACCACCTCCAAATAGGTGCAATGGTTAAACATAGTAAATCATAGCTTTCTAGTTTAAATGTTAAATTTGACATGATCATCATCACCCTTCATGAAGATAATTTTACTAAGAGATTAAAATCTGATCCCAAAATTCATGTGTGAATTTAGGAAATAATGCAATAACAGACCAAAATCTCTTCAAAAATATGTTTTTAACATTAAACAAACCAGGCATTAATAACTAACATGAAACATTCTAAAATGTGATCCACACCTGGCCAGTGTGGCTCATTTGGTTGAGCACCATCCCAGGCACCAAGAGGTTGCTGGTTTGATTCCCGGTCAGGGCACATGCCCGGGTTGCGGGCTTGAGGCAGCCGGTCAATGTTTCTTTCTCACTGATGTTTCTATCTCTCTCTCCCTTCCTCTCTCTAAGAAATCAATAAAAACACATGTAAAAATAAAATAAAATAAAATGTGATCCATGTGAGTGACAAAGGATTTCATCAGAATATGAAAGGAAAAGGCTTAATGAAATCTTCTCGCAAAAAGCAGTCCCTAAAAGTTCTTTAGCAGGGATCCTCACGTATATTTCCCCTGACCAGGGATCAAAACCACAGCCACTGCTTATTGGGATGACGATCTAACCCACTGAGCTACCTGGCCAGGGCTAATTCCATTGTTTTCATCTCAATCTGCACCATGAATCTAAATACAAATGTCAAGAAATATTTCACCTTCACTTAGAAACATGTTCAAAAGCAGCATAAATATTCCCTTTTTTAACCTATTAATGCAGACTGGAGAAGACTCCCCAGACCCACATATCTTGCTTTTCTATCTTTGGACCAATAGTCCACAGTTGTTTGAAGAAAGAAAGGTTCACTTACATGACTAGCAGCATTTCTTAAAGAAGCAATAGTATTTTCTTGAACTTTAGCAAGCCTAAAAGAAGAAATATATAGAAATACAGTTACCATATACTATAGAGAAGATAAAGAAAATAAATGTAATAAAGAAGCCAGCTGTATTTTCAACAATGGAAATAGTACCTATTCTCTACTTTAAGACAAATTTTGCCACCCCCAAAATGAGACTGTGACCATCACTTGCTTGGTGTGTGCATGTATTCCATTAATTATAAGTATTTACAAGCTGAATATAGGCATATCCCATATCAACCCAATCTCTCCAAGTGAGGTGACCAATCAAGGAAAAGAACCTTTGCAATGGCATGAAGTAGTAGAGATACAGAAACTTGCTCCTTTTGAAGCCTCAGAAGACTTAATAGTGGCAGACTAGGGGAATGGGAAAGGCTGACACACCAATAGGGTGGAAGTATGGAAACTATACTAAGAACAGGTAAGGAAGCTGAGACTCAGAGAGGGCAACATGCAAAAGTCAGGACCACAATACAGACACACTGACGGCATCAGGCTCTTTCTGCATTACGCTTTCCTCCTAGCTTTCTAGTTTGTTTGTTGTTGTTGTCCTAATTTTAATAAAGTATAGTTCACATACAATACTATATTAGTTTCAGATGTACAACACAGTGATTACATTTATATACCTTGTCATATGGTCACCACAATAAGTCTAATAACCACCTGTCACCATGCAATGTTATTATGATATTACTGACTATATATTCCCTGTACACTATAATCCCAAGGCTTACTTATTTTATAACTGGAAGTTTGTACCTCTTATCCCCCATCACCTTTTTCACCCATTTCCCCTATTCTGCTCCCCTTTGGGGCCTGGCTTTCTAGTTTTAATGTTTCGCTTATCAATTCAGTAAAACATTAAAAAACACTAACCAGAATCTTTAGAAGAGTGTTAGTCTCTAATTTAAGTTGGGAACCCCAATGACCAAATTAAATTTAAATTCCAGGGTAATAATAATACAATCATTTATACCTGCAGTAATGTCAATACTAAAAATTTTTTTAAAAAAATATCATTTGACCTTTTTTCACTCAAACCAATTTAACATTATCAAGTTCGAGCTACCAAATGGTAATACTGCTCAAAAGTATTCAACCTACTTAGCAGTTGTTGTAGAATTCCCTGCACCTCTATGTCCAACATCCAATGGTGTTCTTGGTTTCCAATACTTGGAAAATGAAGATTTCATGTCACAGCTGTATCCTGGTAATGGCTTAATAATTATATAGTCAACTTTTGTAGGGAAAAAAGAGAGGGTGGGGACAAAATTAAAGACAATTAAAAAGGGCATGATGAGCTCAATTACATTTAAATATACTAAAACTAGCTTTATCAATCTCTATCAAATAGGAAAAAATTAACAAGTCAAAACTGATTCAAAGCTTCTAGAAAATTCAAAAGATAGCCCGGCCGGGCGTGGCTCAGCAGTTGAGCATCCACCTGGGATCCAGGTGATCAGGGTTTGATTCCCAGTCAGGGCACATGCCTGGGTTGCGGGCTCGATCAATGGCTCTCTCATCATTGATGTTTCTATCTCTCTCTCTCTCCCTCTCCTTTCCTCTCTCTGAAATCAATAAAGATATAAAAAAAAAAGGAAAAAAGAAAAGTGCCTATTATAGAAGGTACTCAATAATATTAAAAAAAAAAGAAAATTCAAAAGATATATCCTAGTTATTATATTAGATAATATTCTAAAACAAATCATTAATTTAATCTTTACCATTCTCAAAAGCTCAATCTGAAACTAATGAAATTTTAACTTAACCTTTGCTTATTTGTAAAGGGCCACCCTGCTGTTCCATGCTTACCTCTCACTTTGCCTATTGTTTTTCTGGAGTTTCTGCTCATGATAGGAAGAGTAAGGATTCCAGCACTCTTCCCACCCTCATCAATGGTGGATGATAAGAGGCATGCTGTACCCACGTGTCCAGGAAGAGCATCACCCTGAACTACATGTTCACCGAGATCTTCCTGAAAAATGAGAAAAATTTAGAATAATCCAAGTTCTTATACTTTAATATTTTCCATTTAAAGATCAAAAACTATGCAGGAAGATCAATAAGAAATACAATCAAATTTATATCCATGAAATTTAGAAAGCACTTTTTGGTAATAAACAGTACATTTTTTCATATATAATATTTTAAGACTTTATGTATTACTTTATTAATCATAACTCTGCCGATTTGCAATTCTGATCCTCTAATATGTATTAGGTGAATTTAAAACACTAACTAAAAGTTACTAAGTACTTTTATATTCAAAGACTAAGATATACCTGTAGTGAGCTTTTAATATATATTATATTCTCTAAAAACACATCCACACAGATGACACAGAGGGATGGTAACTCTCCTGGAAACTGAACACTTTGAGATTACACTGAGTATTTTATCAGCCTGGTTTAGAAATAAAATAGTATTTCCAATGCTGCTAACAAAATGAAAGGGAAGTTAGGCTGCTCTCATAATTTCTATTGATTGATTGATTGATTCTAGAGAGAAAGGAAAGGAGAAAGAGAGCAACATCAATTTGTTGTTCTACTTATTTATGTATCATTGGTTGATTGTTATATGTGCCCTGACCGGGGATTGAACCTGCAACCTTGGTGTACTGGGATGTGCTCTAACCAGCTGAGTTATTGGCCAGGGCTAAAATGTAGGTCCTTAAAGAACAAGGAAACATTCAACCAAAACTTCATATTTTTATAATAAAATTCCACATCTCATTACTTAGGTAAGATCTAATTATAGTGTTTTTTAAAATAAATTTTTTTGGGGAAAAACACCTTTAAATTCCATCTAATGCAAGGTTGCTAAAAAGCCACTCACAAAGGCTATGTCTAAAGGAATCATCAAATTCAACAATTCAAAGATTATAATTTTAATTATGTACAGCAAATGCTACTCAGTGGGTTTAAATCCACTCTGAATTCTAACATTTTCAAGAAACTGTGGCTAGCTGTTACTGCTGGGCAAAGCATATTTCCTACTCTCAAAGATTTAAACTTTAAAAAAGTGAAAATGGGCCCTGGCTGGTTTTGCCCAGCAGTTAGAACGTCGGCCTGTGGACTGAAGGGTCCTGGGTTCAATCCAGCCAAGGGCACAGCATGCACCTCGGTTGCAGGCTCCATCCTCAGCCCCAGCCACAGGGCGTGCAGGAGGCTACCAATCGATGTGTCTTTCTCACATCAGTGTTTCTTTCTCTCTCTCTCTCCCTTCCACTCTCTGAACAATAATGGAAAAAATATCCTCAGGTGAGGATATATAAAAAAAAAGTGAAAATGGGAGTGGATGTGCCAAAGAACAGGAGTCTCAGGAAAGCAGTACAGCTGACTGCGCCAGGAAAGATAGAGCAAGGACCGCAGGGGAGGGCTCGGTATCACCAGGGGGAGCACCTGAGCGGCCGGTGAGCTGGAGCGCTACTGTAAGTGTCAGCAGTAGCTCCGGAAAGCTGGCCGCACAGATTCTGAACAACCTCGCACAATTTTTATAGCAAAGCTTTTTATTACATATTTATAATATCAAGTAAAGTTGCAAAAATGAGTCCGGTTACAATGAATTCTTATAATAAAATGCTTCAGTAAGCCACAGGCTTTGGTCATGAAGAGGACTCAATCATGCTAGTTACATCAGATTGCACACCAAGTTATATAGTTTGGTTGATATAATTCTTATTTATTTATTTATTTATTTATTTATTTATTTATTTATTTATTTA